GGCTATACACACACACACACACACACACACACACACAGAGTGAATCAGAGAGCGTCTGTGAGGGTTTCTGACTCTTTGAGCTCGTCGATGATCTTCTGTTTGTGGTTGATGTCGTCGCGCAGACGGCCGAGCTGCTTGTGCTGCGGCTCACGCTGAGCGTCTGCTTTCTGAAACACACAAACACACTTAACACCATACAAATACAGCCAACTGCAGAATTCACAAGCATTTCCAGCAATAAACCAAATGGTTGAGATTTACCTTTCCGTTTCCAGACTCGTCCGTGTCCAGCGGGTTATCCTGAGCACTTTCTGTGAACATGGAGACAATAACTTTACAATCTGAACATATCACTGTATGTTTAAAACATGTTTTTACAGGATCTACAGAGTTGTGTGATTGATGAAGCCAGGCTGATTACGGTTAACTAAAACGAAGCAATGACTAAAACATTTTTTTTTTAAGTTACTTAAAAAAAGAGGAAACAAAAAAAAAATGAATAAATAAATAAAAATGTTTAATTTCAACTAGTATCTAAGGCAACAATTCTTTTTTATTTAACTTTTAACTTGATAAACTAAAATAACTCAATTTAAAACTGAAATAAAAATAATAAATTACTAAAATGACTAAAACATTAACTAAAATTAACATGAAAGCAGAATATATATATAAAAATGTAAATTAAAATATTTACAAAAACTATATTAGTATCTCAATGATATGACGCTTTAATGATGTGAAGCTTAAAACTTTAACAGTTTGTACTGTTTAATTTATTTTGATAAAATAATGTTATATTTTATCAAATAAAATATAATTTTTTAAAATAAAAAATACACACATATAAAATTAAGCTTTTAAATATTTGAACAAGTTCAAACTTGTTAAAAATAAGCACTTCAGCAAAGTTTATACCATTTTCCGTTTATTTTATGTTGATACAAAACAACTTATTTAAAAAATAAAATATATTTATAAAATAAAATGTAAAAGTATGTACAGTATTTATTTATTTTATTCAATGAATACACATAAAAATAAACACACCATTGTTGGTCAAATATTAATTTTAAAATATACAGAATTTGTAAATATACATATAAAAAAATTTAATATACAGAATGTAATTAACCAAAAATAAAGATTCTGAAAGCTTGAAGGAGATCTCAAAATAATTTAATTTGGCTTTTCAGTAGTACCAATAAATAATATTTTGAGAAAAACTATGGTTTCATTGTAAATATAATGACTATCTCTAAAACAGACCCACATTATCTTAATTTATAAAATGGTATTGAGCATTTGAATCGAACCATTTTTCTGCCACCTAGAGATTCATAAAATAGAATACATTTTTTTTTTTAAAAACACAGTTGTTTTATGGGATATTTTTGATCAGTATAAGTGTGTGTTTGTGTTTGTGTTTGTGTTTGTGTGAGTGTGTGTG